CGAGTCTGAAAACATAACCTACCTCCAACATGTGCTTTTTGCCTCTTTTCCTACAGACATTAGCATCCTGTTATAAATTTAAAATACCCCATTGCACCATTGTAAGTTTGCTACTGTGCTCCAGTGAGCCTTGCTATAGGTTGGTGCGTTTACAGAGTTTCTTATTAATGAACTTCAGCTCATGGAATCATAGTATTATGTTTTTATTGTTGGCCCTGTAGCATGCAACTGTAATCTTGCTGAATTGCTTTCTCTAGAAAGTTACCTATGTTGAAACATTGAAAACTTTCTGCTGAGATGTTTTTGGCATTATTTTTAAAAATCATTCTGAGACATACTCTACAAGGTGTTTGCATATGAGTGTTTGACACGACCCATGTATTAGCAATGTAACAATTTCGTAACATAGAGAGCCAGTTAGACGTCACAATGGGAAGAACGTCTATCCTCCATCCTGCTCACCTCAAGCACTGCACATTCTCATGTCCCTTCAGGCTTGTTCTTTCATCACTCTGAGGGCATCTCTCTTGCCATCAGGTCAATTCTACATAGAGAACTCCACAGCATAGATACAATCGGTCTATGCCAGTTCATCTGCGTCATCCAGTGTAGTGCGCTGGAAATTCTCCATGTGTAATTCTGGGAATCAAATCAAACAATTAACTCCTTGGTTGTATTTTTAAAAGATTACATTTATGCATTTTTTTTTTTTTAGTGTTGTAGGAGTCCGCTAGTTAGTACCCAGCTGCTCAGCAGCTCAGCCCCGAAATAACCACAGAGAGACTGTATTATTTAAATCACTGCTTGGCCCGTTATCTCTAGCTTCTTATTGGCTAACTCTTACCTCTTAATTTAACTCATCTCTATTAATCTGTGCAGCACCATGAGGTCGTGGCCAACCAGCAGAATTTCAGCGCACCTGTATCAGGCAGCAGCTTCATGGCTTCTTTCTGACTTCACCTCCTTTAGTTTTTTTTTATTCATTAATTAATAAAAGCAACACATAGATAGAAGGACCTCCCACACCATTTTAGTGAAATTTTTAGAAACTTATGAATTAGCATTTAAAGCCCTTACCAGGAATGTAACATCAAAGGACAATAGCAATACGAGGTAATTTGGATAAGACCCTCAAAAGTAGAATATCAATTTAGTTTTCTAAACTTGTGAGAAACAATTTTTATTGTGATGTTGATCAATGTCCCTAAACAATAGCTTTCTTTAAAGATAGGAAAGGTCATTTATAATAAATCTTAAGAGTGAAAAAGTTTTCAAAATGTACCTCTGTGGATGTTTGGCAAACTTAAATTTATAGAAGCACATTGGAACCTATTATTTTGAAAAGTGCTAATTTCTTTTGCTTGGCCACTCTTTATTGTCATATGCAGGAATTTTAGAAGACTAATCAGCCACGGTATGTTAACCTCAACAAACTCTCTTGCCTATAAGAAATACTAGCAAAGCCTTAACTTCTAGAATACCTTACATTGCTTCTTCTGTTTCCTTAGATGATTTACCCAGGTAATCAAAGTAAATAGTTATATATGCAGACACTGCAAATGACAGGTGCCCCTGCCTCTCTAACATATACTGAAATTCGCTGGATTTCAGGGGTAGACAGTGAGAGAACCTACACAGAGTCTGATGACGGCCAAATCCAAAACAAATGCTACCATTCCATCAGACAGAACGTAGAAGTTTAGGAATCCAAGTACTCTGTAGATCTTGCTATCTTTAAACCTTGTAACTTCTAATATCCTGCCCCCTAAAAGGGACTTTGTAGTCATCTTTCTTAGGGTTCTCCATTTCTAGAAAACAGCACAATCTGTTTTTCTGGAATCTGCTCTGCTGCTCCTTCCTGGCAGGCCATTTCTGTTGCTTGTTTGGGACTCACACTCTGAGGTCCGCAGGTTGACACTTGTGAGGTCACTCGGTTTATGGTAGCGGAGCTGCAGAGGCTGGCTCACTTGGCTAATGAGGTCCTGCTGTCTGCTGCCCTTAACCACCGTGCCACTCACCAAGTCTAATTTTGGCAGTTTTCAGACCCGGGGCCTTGTTTGGAGGGAGTGGGATTTGGCAGAATTAAATTTCTGCTGTCACCGTGGCGTCTTGGGGGTGGAAATGAACATCTGGGCAGACTTTGGGGAAAAGATATTGTAAAACTTGACATAATTGAAGGGAACATGGAGAGGGAGGAACAGTCTCATCTTTTATTTCTTGGAATACAGAGGACAACGTAAGGTCTTTTTTTATGTCCTTGAATTCATTTTGCAGCTTCTTGTTGGAGATCCCTTTTCCACATATAAATATTGGCTTATTTACTTTAAGATTTCTAGTGCCAAAAAATTCAACAATCCACTGGCGTTAACTCCCTGAAGAAGTATCAGCTTATGTCTTCCCTCTTCTTTGTGCTTGTGCTAGATCTTGTGACCATGAACTCATCATGGTCATTTTCCCATAAAATCTGTCAACCAGTTGTTGATGAGTGTGTGCCCACTAACAGATTTTACTGTTGATTTTCTTTATTTGTGGCTTCTTATGCTGATTTCCATTATCCTTAGCATGCCCTGATGTGTCTAGCCACACTCCAGGTGAAAGAAATAATATGTCTAATTATATATCACGTATGGTACAGACCATCTAAGGCAATTTGATAAAGGAATGTGATTGATAAATCCTTAAAGACCACTTTTTCTCCCTTTATAATTTGTAATTTTGAAATCACCACTATTATATGTTCCTCGGGGCTCAAATTACTCAAGCTGGGAAATGTTTCCATAGCCTTTGTTAGATCTACTTTCTTCATAGGGAGAAATACCTTTGAGCTTGAACATAGAAAATTAAATAATTTTGTTATTGCAGGCTGTGGGATCTCTTTCATAACTATATTCATAGCATCCTAATGTTGATAGAGTCTGAAACTCCATGAAATGAAAGAACAGCATCAGCTAGGATGTGTCGATGGCGTTTTATCTACTGATAATTGAATTTGAAATTATAAAACTTCATTCTAACCCAAATATTATCCTTTGAAATTTTCCCAGCTGTGTTCACAAGATCCATAGAAATGGGGATGGGACTGGGTTTGTCAAAGGGCTCTAAATGAAGAATACTCATGTACGCCTACCCAAACATGATATAAGAACAAAACAAATTTTCCTAAGCTCCTCATATTTTTTGTGTTTTTGCATGTGTGTGTGTGAGTGCATGTGGCTGGCCGTGCACATTTGTGCACGTGTGTTTTTAGACCTGTAGCTTCTGGTTTATAAGTGCCTCCCTTTCTCCCTCATCACAGTGGTACATTGTTCATGGAGAGAGAGAGAGAGAGAGAGAGAGAGAGAGAGAGAGAGAGAGATTTCTATTAGATTGCTTCCTTGCCAGGAAAGCTGCAGAAATTGTGACGCAGAGAGAAGGTGGAACTATAGAAGAATATCAGACTGTTAGTTCCTTTTCTGATGGCAAAGTGACATTTTTTTTTAATGCCTACATGAGATAAACAGAGTGGCCTTACCTGGCCCATTTTGTCATGGCCCTGGAGTCATCTTGTCTGAGGTTAGAGTTTTGTGAGCTGGTTTTGGGGCAGTAGGAGAAAGTGAGCACTAGACTGACTTATGGAGATCATGAGGAACTTGTTTTTCTTTCTTCTTTTCTAACCCCACCCCTCCCTCCAGCCAATCCCCAGAACTGCTACATTTCCTGTTCCAGGTTCCCAAGTGTGTTACTAAATAATTGAAGCCTATAGCAAATGTAAACGCGGCGTGACACACTGTATATCTTTCCATGAGATCCCGATTCCTCCGAGAGGAACCACGAACCTGAATTGGATGGTTTTTTCTTTCTCTCAAGGATGATAGGTTTCTGGTTTTATTGTAAAATTATGTGTGATTTTAATAGTCTCATGCCATCTTAGAAGTCACATAAATTCCACCTTTAATATATAAACTTGGGAAAGCATGCCATCCTGGTCGTGTTTTTATAGGGAACTTTAAGGATCCAACTGCTTCTCAGTATGTGAAACACTCTACACTTCACCCTGGGCTGCAAGAAACTTTTATTTATCCTGTTAAACATCGCATGTGAATTTAATAGTCATAGCATTAAGTGCTCTTTCCTTTTTGGTTTCAGTGCCCTAGAGGGAATGTCAGAGAGTGGATTTGGGTTTTATGTAGCAAGATGTCGGGTTGATTTTCCTTCTTCCTTCTAGACATTCTGACAAACACTTTTGACACAATCTGAGCCAAGTACATTGGAAATTCACATTTTGCACAGTGTAATTCTCTTTTAATTTCATGCAGCAAAGTATAGGCGTGTCCTTGCCATAGCACTAGAGATGGCCATGCTGTCAGAGGAGATGGCCCGGCATCCCTGGGCTGCCCAGCACAGCCTTTCTGCCTTTCATCTCCATTTCTGTCTGATACCAGAATTAGTTAAACCTATCAGTGGCTTCCTCTTTCCAGAACAGTTTTTATCTGACAAGAAATGTCAGCTGACACAGGATATCACTATTAAAGACACTCTGCCTTTCCTCTCTGCCTTCCCACAGACAGCCAGGCAGGACACCCAGTCATCTCTCGCCATTGTCCCTTGTCCCTGTTTCTTAACAGGCTGTGGTAATGGGCCTCAGAATTGTTCACCTTGTTGATATTTTCTAAGACAAGCACACTTAAGACTCTCTGATGCCTCTTGTCACCCGGTGCTCTTTGGTAATTTTAAAATAAAAACAGGAAGGGAAAAAGAAAAGAAAAAAAATCAGGTGTTTTGAGAATTTCCACACACCTGCAGTGAGTTATGTGGTGGGGACAGACAGCAAATAGCAGGTTGAACATAAGTCTCAGAGGCCTTGGGAGTGGTAAACACATGGATGCTGAGGTCCAGTTTGGGTCCAGGAGAATGGCTGGGGAAGAAAGGGGACAGGTGCTCCCAGGATTTGAATAAAGTCTCCCAAATCTACCCAGAATCCTTGACATTTCATGCAGATCTTCACTTTTTTCTCTTTGCAGGGGAGCACCTCCGCATCTGCCCTCAGGAATACACGTGCTGTACCACAGAAATGGAAGACAAGTTAAGCCAACAGAGCAAACTCGAGTTTGAGAACCTTGTGGAAGAGACGAGTCATTTTGTGCGAACTACGTTCGTGTCAAGGCACAAGAAGTTTGATGGTAGGTATAGCTGGCTGCCCTTCTTTGTGTTTCTGCTGTGTGTTTATGCAAGGCTTTTGCCCTACCTGGAAGAGCATTTTTAAGAGATGGTTCCATTTCCTCTCAAACGCATGTAGAATTTGTCTATGTTTAGGAAAGACATGGACATCCTTGACAGTGTAGTGTTCTCTGGTATCGTCATAGAAAAAGTCAACCCTGCCTGAGCAAAGGGGTGCTGTGCTCGGGTTCTGCCCATGCCGTGCCTCAGCAGCGCGATGCTCACGTTTCTTTAGTTTCGTGATCCTAATTCAAGTTTTCTTATGGTTTAGCTTGTCTCCAGTGCTTCACTGAGACAGTTCATTTGCAACGTCCTTTTTCTTGCAGCTGCTTGCAGCACCACATACTTTTTAAGAGGACAGGCGTGTCCCCATGACAGTGACACGGACTACGTTATTTTAGTACTTGCCGTCCGTTAATGTGACACACTCTATACAGCAGGTGCCGTGCGTTTCACAAAAAGGGTACCGACCCCCTTTCATGTCCAGATCATAAGTAAGCCCCATCATTTCCATATTCCCATAAATGTTATTCTGTGTGCTAGAGAGGACAAGAGTGAAGAAAGTTATCCCTGTCGTTTCAGCTTGAACTTCCTATTCAGGGCCGTAAAAATACTCCCCTGTAGTGAGAATTTCAGCAGTTTCAATGAGGACGGCAGGTTAGGGCATGTTTTCAGTGGCTGTAGAGCGCGCTTACTGCTCTAAGAAGTGCATGAACTATGCTACGATTCGTCGGGCAGCAGACTAGCATGTTGTGTAGGATTTCCATAGTCCCCACTGGACATGTTCCCCAGCCCAAGGCCGGCAAGATCCTATCCACTTTCTTCACCCTCTTAGTCAGAGCACCACAGATCCGGTTAGAAAAGGCTTCCCAATGCTTTTCTTTCAGACACCCTATTTCATGGTTGCTTGAAACTGTTATTGTATCACTGTTGCCTTCCGAATTTCTTCTCCGTGATCTGACAGCGGGGCTGCATGGATGGACTCATGAGGATGGTGCATTTTCCATGCTGCTGGTGCGACGACCTCTCCACGAGGCTGTTCCCGCGCCTGCACTGTGGATAAAGTTATCAGTGGATATGTGTGACAGCGATTCCTTGTGGAAGTGTGATTCCGTGAAGCTTTTCTCTTGACTCTAATGAGGGCGTCCTTGGGGGTCGCCCTTGATTGACAGATTACAAGTCCAGCAGCATTCGGGCGGCTCTGGGTTGAGGTGCTCACAATTTATCATTGCACATGGAGTCGTCTTGTCCTTGATGGCAGAGAGCAGCTGAGGGTGATCCCGCTGCTCCTCGCCTTGTGTTTGGAAACCCATTCTAATGCATTTACAAAGCTGTCCTTTGCCATCATGCTCTTAATTCTGGGACAAAACGCTGAGGCTGAAATGTGTTTCTCATAAGAAAAAATAATAGATGGCAACTAGCTTCATGAAAAATTTTATATATTTTTTTTAAGCGAAGGAAAGCTATTCTGCTTGACCAAGCCAGATACTTCTGGCATTATATTAGTTAATCTTATATCTCACTTGTCTCAATTAAGAACCCCTGCTTATAAGACAGGCAGGTTTTAAACTGTGTTAATGCTCTCCGGGATCACCGTTGCTATGGACATCTTATAGGTTCGTTTTAGAGACTTTTAATTTGGTGAGGCCTTCTGCATTCTTACTGAAGTCTGGTATCCAAAACTTTCCATTCAAGTTCTTGCCTATAGTCCACGTTGTCAGAGGTCCAGCCTGCACAGTTATAAGTTGCTGCCTTTGTTAGCTATCTATACTTCTCCATAAAAAGAGAACTACCATTTAATTTATATCGCGGAACGTTGATTCCTCTGCTCATTAAGGATAGCAGCAAGTTTACTTGCATGTGGTATATGTGATCTAAACCATAGTGCATATAGATGCCGCCAGGTGGCTCTGTGTTCTATTAGAAATGCCTGGTTTCCATCCACTCTATCGGTGTGATTCTGTAGAATTTTAGTATTAACACCACATCACATACTACTATGACTGTACATTTTTCTCAATTGTGCATCAATATGCTGGGTAATACTTAGAAGATGCTATTGTGTATAATTTTAAATAGTTACTAAATAATGGAAACATAACCATGAATATATTTGATTTCTTCCAAAGCTTTGCAAAACTTCAGGTTTTGCTTGAAGTCTCATTAACCTAATATCGGAAGGACAAGCAATATACTTTGCCACGTATAGAAATTGTATTCTTTGGCAGATAATTATCTGGGTAGATATTTTTCTTTAGTGATAAAATTAGTAAAGAGCTCAACAGAGCTGCTTTCAACATGCTATGTCAGTAAGCCTACATTTCTGTTCCTCGCCATAAGTGAAAATCATACGCATGAACCAGCCCAGGGTACTTAGCCGTGTTCACAACTTTATTCCCTTACCTCTGATCTTGATCTGCCATACACCTCAGAAGTTCCAAAACTAGCAACAAGATTATGTAAAAATGTCATCAAGAAGGGTGGTATCCTTGTCTAGGCAGTCACCATGTAGGTAGAATCCCGTGTTCAGTGACCACTAGGTCTGGCCAGTTTGCATTTCTGTCTAAGTCTTCACTGTGGCTATGTGATTGGGTCCCTTTATGAAGCCTTCTGAGCTTGGCATTGGTGTTGGAGACAACACATGGCCTCTTTCTTTACACTCTGAGATGTTTGCTTCATCATCAGGGATCAGCTGAAATGCAAGGTCACACACCTGTCAAGTGGAGAGTCACAAGTTTGTCCACACCTCAGCATTCCTTCTTGTTTACTGTCTTCTGCTTCCTCTGCCCCATACCCTCGTCTTCCGATGTGCTGGATTTCATGGTCAACCAGTTAGCAATGCCTCTCTCTCCCGTCTGTCCTGTCCTGATTATGGTTGGGAGAAAGAAGAAATAATTTTCAGGAAGAAAAAACAAGTAGTTTGAGTTAATTTTAATTCCCAAAAAAAGGAAAGAAAGAAAATTACTCACCTAAATATAGTTCAACTCTCCAAGGAGCTGGGAGCCTCCAGAGGGGAGGGACCTTGCCAAGTTTCCATCCAGGCGTGTAACCTGATACCTACATCCATCTTATAAATAGCAGTGTTGTGGGAAATCAATATTTAGTTTATTTGTTTTGAGTAGACACTGGCAACCCTTTGCTGATGTTTCTTTAGCAAAACAATTGCAATAATTGTGTACTTATAATCTAGCCACAGTTTTTGACAGGGTAGAGACAGCATTCAGTTGTCCAAAGTCATTCCAAAGTTTAAAGGATTACAAAGACAGCATTACAGACTCACCGGAGGCCTATTGTGTATCCTCCTTAGCCAATGTAACCAGCTGGATTACATCATGGTGTAGGTAGTTGAACCCCTTCGCTAGAATGATTCTGGAAAACAAATTATTCAGAAACAGAATATTTTTCTTGAGAGGATTTGTTTTTCCTTCATATATATTCAATCTGAAACTTACTTACAACACGAGCTTTCTATGAAGTTCTTCGTTTGTTCGTTGTTGTTGTTTTGTATTTTCTTCTTGATCTTATTATTGAACTTTTCTTCCTGATCATTATTTATGTATTTTAATGATATACATTCATCCAGAGTTTTGGCACCAAGAACATTTTTTTAAAAGCAAGCTAAAAACAAAAGACTGGCAATTTCCATTCTTATGTGGCATGTATGCTATAGCAACACCCTCGGAATACCCATCACATTGAAATCAGAAATTACTTATGCACTGAGGTGTAGTGTTTGCACAGTGCAAGTCTGCTCCTACTCCCTTTTAAAACATCATCTTTCATCTCCATACCATAGAGATGACAATAATGTAATGACTTCTTTAAAATATAGTCTCATTTTCTCAGCGAGTGTACTTAGATGGAATAGAAAACACAAACGGGCTCTCCATACGGTGACAGAATCTTATATACTCTCTGACATAGGAGTCATGTTGTATGTGTGTGTGAGAACATGCATGTAGAATTTCAATTTGGAAAGCTTTTTTTTTTACAGATGGGCAGCTGTCAGGAAAGTATGAAAGGTGTGGAAAGTTGGCTAAGGATGACTAAAATGTCTTCATTGCTTGTAGTAGGTCAGCTTTTGAGAGAGATGTAAACACTGAATTATCCAGAAAGCAGGTTTGACTGGGCATGCCAGTGCACAGCTGCAATGCCATCTTGGGTAGGTAGGGGCAGGAAGATCAGGAATTGAAGGCCAGCCTGAACTTTGTAAGCCCGTGTCTCAAACACAGAAAAAAAAAATAATAACAGTCCAGAATTTACCTGGATCCTAGCAGAGACTACTTTTGATTTCAGACAAAGTAAGTCATTCTCTGAGAGGTACCAGACAAGAGTTCTTGGAAGAGCTCACTATCAATACCCTTAAAACATGGATTAAGAATGAGCTGCAGTATCAGAAGAGTAGAGGACTGGCAGAGACACTTGGCTCCCGAGAGGTTCTGCGCATGCTTACACACATGTTGGTAGTATAATTGGTATTGATTTTCCTCCAGCTATCATAAGTTTATTAAAATGCATCTATCTATTAGGTAGGTATTCTTCAGAAGTATCTTATTCCTTGTGCTAGACTCCCTGTGTTTTGTAACAACCACACCATTTCAGATCATAAACAAGACAGAAACAAGATTGTGTTTTTTTTTTTTTACTCATTTAGTTTTAACGATTATAATTTGAGCTCAGGTTGACATGGCTAAAAGTTAGTTGGCTTCATTTAATATACCTGTTCTTCTTCAGGGAGCTGCTCTCTGGCACGGGCAGTTTTGTTTCTTGGTAAAGCTTGGAGTGAGAGAAAAGGAGATGAAGGTTTCCGTGAAGTTGATGCATATCATTTTAGGGTAGGAGGCTAAAGTGAGACTCGTGGTCATGGTCATTTCCCCTAACAATAGGGTAAGGCCAATTATACCAGTCTACAGAGATGGAGAGCGGAAAGACTGGATTTCTGTTCATTCCTATCTCCCATTAT